TTTTTTTTTTTTTTTTACTTTTATATTGTCTTGGATACTTTTTTTTTTGTTAAAAATGTTCCCAATATAGTAACTTAAAAGTCTCAACATTAGGAAGTTATTATGGGTAGTGAATCTACAGTTTGATGCTTTTTATGCGTCTGTGTTTGCAAGTATTAAGAAGTTTGGTCTTGATCAAATACTGCTCTGTTTGTGCGGGATTCTTCTGTACATATGTGTGTGTGTGTAACAGCAGAGTGGGTGGTGGTGCAGGATTGCTGGGGGTGGGGGGGGGGGGTTGGTTTGTGTAGACCACAGGTCATTAGTAGAGATCAAGCTTCCCTAATGAGTACTGGGTCCTCCAGGGGCATCCAGGCGTCACACACTGCACTTCCCACGCCGGGCTCTCCCAGCTCTCTGTACGCCCTGGCTGCACACTGCCCCCTGCTGGAAACCTTTGCCCTAAGATTAGATTGAAAGCATATCTGACAGATGTCACACATCTCCAGCTTGTTTCTATCACTTTTTATCTATATATACATGCACACAATAAGATGTCTTTGTTTCAGGGGGGACTGCAGTTTACCCCCCGTTGGCTCTTGTGAAGTTTTTCTGTACAGATTAAAATACATTTAGTTTATTTGTGTTCACCTGTGCTCATCTGTTTTCTCCCAGAGGAAAACTCCCACAGAAGGACCTCGAGCAGATATTCCCAGGGAAGAGCGGAGACTTCACCAGTGAGAACTTCTCTGCCACATGGTACCTCATAGAAAACCATGCAGGCTCCAGGTTTGTCCATCTTTCTGATATTAGCTGCAATCTCCAACAAGTATGACTGAGAATAATAGAGATTAATTAGAAAAAAATGGTAATTAATTTGAAGAGAGACAAAATAGTAATTTCCAAAAGTTTTTCTTGGTCAGTAATTCAACTATGGGTGGTCAAAGTTGAAAAATTAGCTCACATTTTCCCAAATAGTTTTTACTGATGCTGATTAAAAACAAAAGAAAAATGGAGCATACGTAGACTCAAAGTCTGGTAGGGTGGCATAGATGCATTCTCCTTTTTTGTGTAGAACTTTAAAAATTCTATGACTTCTGTTGCACATTATCTCTTCATTTGTATTTAAAAGGGTTTTATAGCCTGATTAAGCTTCCAAAATTGCTGAAATTTGGGGAATTGAACTTGAGAAGAAAAGATAAATGGCAAAAATAAGAAAAAAGTGCCCTTGTTCTCCCAAATTTCCTGCAGTTGATAGTAGCTTTCAGTCAGTTATATTGCAAAGTAGACACCTGTCATCCACATTTAGTAAAAGAAACCATGCATTTTACACATCTGTCAATCCAGCTGCAGATCTGAGTAGAAATCCAGGTCATAGAACAAATAATACACCCTTAATTAGCAGTGATTCAGGTTCAAGTTTATTTGCATAGCACATTTAACACACAATGGAAACTCAACAGCATTAAGACTAAATATATATTGATTTAGAAACTAAAACAACTATTAAAATGTGTAATTCAACTGAAAAAGGATTAAAATCACAGAAAGTCAGCTTATATACAAATTAATATTTGACTGAAGAATGGAAGAGGGAAACAGTGGAGTTTTCAGTTTAAATGCATCCAGAGTTGGGGCACATTTTCTATCAATAAGATGTGTTGCTCTGCTGCATTTGTGACATTTTAGGTTGTATATTTTTAGCCAAGTCTCCGTATTTTCACTTGGCTTTTCATGGAAGAGTGAGGGGTGTAGACAAGGTAGCCTGTTGACCTAAGGGACTGTCATGTCAGGGCAGAGGGGAGTTATTTTAGACGCTCCTGGCTTCCTCTCCCCCTGCTTAGCCTTCCAGTAACCCAGACCCCCAGGATCCAGCATGACCAGGGGCCCCTGTTTAGACCTCACTGGGTGACTGTTTCTTCCTGTAGAGGAAACCTCACTCAGGACACCGACACACAGACACGTACTCACCGTGTGTTCAGAAATACACGCATTAACCTGGTTTTTCTCTGTTTTAGAGTCCAAAAAAGACAGTTTAAACACCTTTACATTTAGCAGCAGTTAAAATAAAACTAGGTGATCATTAGCTGTAGCTCACCATCCTTTTATTGTTGTTTACTTTTGCACAGTTTTGATCAGCTGAGGATGGGAGCTAATAATCTGAAGAAGCAGGCCACCAAGAAGAATGAGGGAAGTCTGGCCTATGTGAAAGGAGGCCTCAGTACTTTCTTCGAGGCTCAGGACGCTCTTGCAGGTAAGAGGGCTCAACACGTTTTTCTGTGCACAAGAGCCTCACCAAATGGTTGACAATTAATCCGCAAACTCTCAAATCATCACTCTCTGCTCAGAGAACCGCTCTTGATTTTTGGCAAATGTGTGAGTGTGTGCATTTGGATTTCTTCTCCCAACATGTGGTTTCGCTGCGATTGATTAAAGAGGCTCATTTGGACGCCGTGTGAAATCGCCCCACTTTGTGCTAGAGTTACACCAGCCAACCACAACACGGTTAATTCACCTTCATCAAAATGAGATCAGCTCTCACCTGTCACACACAGCCACACTTGACTGTGAAATGTGGACATAAACAGACACGCACACATGCGCACACTCACTGACCTTCAGATGCCAAAATGATTTCAAGGTAGCAGAGACTGACTGCTGTCGCTCTGCCAGGTACCTCAAATCAATTGTTCACTTCATCATTCATACTTTTGTCTGTTTACTCTCTGCCCCCGCCATAGCCGCTCAGTTACTTCCCCTTACTATTTATATGTACACTTTTCTGCCTCCATCATTATTATTATTGCTTTCCGTATGTTTGTGCCCTGGTTGGAAGAGAGGCAATGTTTTCATTGTTAGTGGCTGAATCTAAATAAACGGAGCAGCCCAACACAATGCAAGCCAGAATATTAGGACTGATAGTGCTGATAACAGATCCAATATGACCAATGGGAACAATGCACAGTCATTCTCACGTTCAGACTGAGCGTGCCTACTGTGTGCCCACTGCCCAATGGGAAATGTAAAGTCTCCAGGGATGCAGGAAGTACAGCACCATGGATGTACTTGAGTGACCTGTGTCACAAGAGGACATGCTATACTGATGTTGTATGACCTGGACCAAGAGTCATTTAGCAGCTCTTTAAAACACCTGTTGTCTTGAGATAAGACACATATTAAAATGGTTTAAACTTTAAATCATACATTTATTATGGATGAGTTTATTTCATCGTGGTTTCCAAACCCAACAGAAGCAGGGATGAGTGGACTGGTTTATTACGATTGAAGCAGATACTTCATTCATTAAATCAACTTGTTCTTCTAAAATATGGTATGACTCCCACTTTTTAAATATGTTTTTTTTAGTTTTTTTTTTCTTTTTAAAGAGAAACATTGTTTCGCGTTTGGACCAGCAGGACGACTTGAAAGTTCATTTTTAAACTTCCTGGCCCCCGTCTTTTCACTGTGACTCATTACAGCCTTACAGCATCCTTTCCTGGCCACGATTTGGCTCTCTGTCATGAAAAATGAAGCAGCGGCACAGAATGGAGTGCTCAAGTGGATATATTCTTTACACTATGTATGGTCAGCCAAACCGACATACCAGCCGGCACGCAGTTAGAGAGCCAGCCAGCTCGAGACAGTCCTGCAATAGTTCAGTGCCGTGGCTGGTTAGCGCAGCTGTCTGTGCGACTGTGAATCCTTTCTTTGTGTCTCTGCAGAGTTTGGCAGGTCTCAGTTGTTCTGACTCAGTCCAGATGAGCCTCACCTGAGACATTAACAGGGCACTCGTGTGTTCTTCTGGTTCAGAACAGGCCGTGTTTGAAGCTGCTGCCGCACTTCCAGACTTCTCAGTCACCGTCACGACATTCTCCGTCTCCCCGAGTGTTTATTTTCGGCTCTGTTTGCATGTGAGGTTTTATTAATGACTTTAATTGAAGTGCGGGGGTATTTATAATGCAATAGCATGACTGCTTTAAGGAGGAAAAAGGCAAGAGAGGCCAAATCTGGGGAAAGGAAATAAATGGATAGAAAGTGCTTAGTGCAAATGACATCTCCCTTTCTTTTTCTTGTTCCCACTAACTGCCTCTTAAGTGCCTTCCAGTAGAGTACACCGTAGTCATCTCCAACTGTAATGGCTAAATGAAATCTCTTGTCATTTTTAATGAACTCTGAACCCCTGCTAAAGCTAGTTTAGACTTTTCCATCTGCAAACCAGAAATCTTGTTAATTGCATTCTTGTTTAGATTAGTTCACTAATTTAGAGTTTTGGCAAATTGGTTGTAATCTTAGAACTTCCAAAACGTAGATCAGCTGTGCTCAATCAGCTCGCATGGCTTCAGTGGATTTGCAAGGTGTACGATAAGCTAGAGCCAGATCAGCATTTACTCTTCTACATTTGTCTTTTTTTTCTATTTGTTTTTTTGGCAGAACAATTTCTCCCTGGGGCATTACCGCACATCATTAGGTCACAGTGAGTTTACCATGTAGAGCCAAAATAAACCTTCATTCTACCTCCAACATGACAGTTATTCCACTGAATTCCACACAGGCCAAAAACTTTTCTCCACTACAGTGAAGAAAAACTAAGCAGAGGGTTTTGTCAATATTTCAAATGAGAAATTTGAAATATTTAATTTGAATAGGAATTGACACTCTTCACTTAGTGATTGGTGGAAGCACTTTTGGCCCTCTAAAGTAATGGTTTTACAGGCCCGGCCCACCTGCATCATGAGACCACTCATGTTTGTTGGGATTATTGAACCCTGATAACAAAGAGGTCCTGTGGTTATGTTCAGTTCACCTTTTAGTCCCAGCTGTTTTCAGCACTTTGAATACAGCATGTATATTCCAAAGATGCTTTAGCACAATTAGGTGTAAATGTCTTTCCATTTCATTGCTTGGTTTCGCTCTCAAGTACATCATCAATGTTATTTTGACCTTGTATATGATTTACTATGGCACTAATATGTAGAAATTTCAAGGGGGCAAAGATACCCCACATTTCTGAAAAGGCACTTTAACATAATAAGTTATATTACCGCATATGTATATTTAGGTGGAAGAGTGCTATAAAAAAGTTGTTTAGGAAAGTTATTTAATCAGGATCCAAATTTTTAAAGCTCTTTTACCAAGTTCAGTTGCTGCCACCAGCTCTAGAGGGGAGATAATTACCTAATGGTCACATTCTGAGAAATGCCTGTTATTATTTTGCGTTTTCTTGTTTGCTTGGTGTGTCTGTATCAAATGTCTCGATTTATTTGTTTAGTAAATGGGTTTTTATGCAGTAATATAAATGGTTCTGTAAACTTCTCATGTGAACCTCCACAAGCTGCTGAAAGAGATGGAGGGTTCTGGCCCGGTGGACCATGTGGTCAGGGAGCCGTAGTGACAAATCGGGCCCTGCTCCTCAGACATACACACACACAGACTGATTGAGTGAGTGACAGTCCGCTGGGAAGCAAAGGCTTGTTGCTACTAAAATGTTGAAATTTGAGGTTTTTCATTGTTGTGTGAAAAGGAAGTCTCCCAGTGATGCAGGAAACGGAACGGCTACCGTGTTCCAAAAATGAAAGATTCCCAGGGCCTATTCCCCGAGTCCCCAGCCCCAGCAGGAGTCAAAACATCTCCAGCTTTAGAAAGGAGGGACTCTGTATTTTTATTCTTATTCTTTTTTTTTTTTTCCATCTCGGACGGTTCCAGGAAGTGGAGCGGGAGCTGCAGCTCTTCCTCAGGTCCGGGTTTGGTGTGTTATCCGGAGCCTGAGCTGATGTTTAGCTTAACCGTGACGTCATCAGCCCTAAGTGTGACAGACGCAGAGGACACACAGCTGCCAGCGGGGCCAGGGGGGTGCAGATATGAAGCAGACCTACAGTGTGTGTCTTCCTTTGTGTATCAGTCCCACATTTTCCTGCGTCTGGCACATTTTCTGAGGGTCAGTAGTGAGAGCCGCTGACGTCCATACTGATAGGCACTGGCATGTTTGAACAGAGTGTTTTAGGAATACCTCTGTCTGCCTTGAGGCTTCTGTCTGGCAGAATGGACCCACATATTTATTTACAGTACCCCCCCCCCCTCACTTTGCCCCCCTGCCCCTCTGCTGTCAAACTAACAGCCAGTTTTAATAAGAGAAAGACTTGTAGATGGCAGACAACAGAGTGCAGTGTTATACTTTTTGGTCATCTATTTCTTCCTATTTCTCTCAACTTCATTCTTGCATATTTTCCTGGCTTCATAAGCATGTATAAGTAGGTCTTCAAAACCCTCTGTACCTCTCTTTCACTCTGTCAATAAACCCACAGTGCAGCTCTCAGCACCCAGCTGCCCACCACAGCACACCATTTATTTATTCACTGGGGTAGCCCCACCACTCTCTCTCCCTACTTTTCTCTGCCCCCCCCCCCCCTTTTCGAATTCCCTCTCCCGCGTAAAGCTCTTCATTTTTGGCATCCAGACCTCCAGCCCCTGCTTTTCCAAATGTTATTGCTCAGACAATTGAAACATTCTTGGTTCATATTACCTCCAGGTCAAAGGGCTTCAAATGTCCCAAGACTGCTAAACTGTGCCGTTAATGGCTTTGGTTTGGTGAATTGATCCGGTACAGTCGCGTCTGGGACGAGGTCACATCCATGCTGTGTGGGAACAGGCACTAGAGGGAGTGGGTTCAGCGGCAGCCTCTGTGGTTGGAGAACCAGTGAGGTTATCTGCCATCTGCCCAGTCGGAGAGTCTGTTTATTGTTTTACCTTCAGTTCCTGTATCTAAAAATGTTCCCATCTTTGGCAAATGGTTACTCTGCAGTGCAGGGAATCAGACATCTCCTTCACAATTCTTACCCACTCTTCGATTCATTTTATTTTGAGTTATTTTGTCTGTTGGAATGTATTTGGTATTGATTTAGACTTTTTTTTCCAGCTATCCACCAGAAGCTAGAGTCTGATGGGACAGAGAAGGTGGAAGGATCCATGACTCAGCGACTAGAAAACATCCTTAACAGTAAGCATCTCCTATTTTTGAGATCGAGATTTCCATCTTTTTGTGTCCACAGAAACCTGTTGCTTCCAGCAGCTTTTCAGTCTTTCACACCGTATTAGATGGAATTGAAAGTGGGAGGAGGCAGTCTTGTGATGTGCAGCCTCCATGTTAACGCAGTCATAACAGGCACCGGTGCAGAGTCACTGCAGACCGGACACATCTGCACTGTGTGTGTTCTGCAGCTCTTCCTCTCCCCAACAAGCCGATTCCTCGGCAGAACCTGTGTGCCCTCGTCTGGATGTCATACATGATAATGGGGCTGCTCTAATGGAAGGTCAATAAGCCGGGACTTTTCCTGAAGTGTAGTGTAAATAAATCCCTCAGCCGGACATAGCTTTCATCCCTACCACTCCAGACCAGAGGGCCCATGGCCCAGCAGGCCTGTGCCTCTGTCCACCCCCTAAACGCACGTATCAAACGCGCAAAACCAACCAGTCAATCACAAATGACCTTGTGAAATGTCATCTCCATGACAGCTCGGGTTGGTTAGTGAAAAATGTTAAATATTGCTCTGTTCCGTCCTGTGCTGTTTTTCCTTTAAGGTTCCTGTGATGGGGGTGGGGGTTTGTTTTGATTATAAGATCTTTGTTTTTTTTCTATCTGACGGCACATCCGTGGCCACCCACAAAGTTGGTTAGCTGTGCAAAGGTCCCCCCGAGCAGGCTGACTTTAAGATAGATAGATGGATGTCACTTTCTCCTTAGCGACTTAGTCTCTCCTCCTGCTCTTCTCTTTACGTCAAATAACATCCAAAGCAGGAAGAAAACCAGAGACCGATCATAAGAGGGAAATGTGGTATCAGCATTTATTTACATAGTATCCCAGTTTCTCATTTTCTCCTCCCTCTTTCACTTCCAATCCAAAATTTTCTCACTCTATCCTTCTCAGGCGCGAGCGATACTGCCGATACTCTCTTCCAGGAGGTCTTGGGAAGGAAAGACAAAGCTGACTCCACACGAAATGCACTCAACGTCCTGCAACGTTTCAAGTTTCTCTTTAACCTCCCACTCAACATTGAACGCAACATCCAGAAGGTACCTAATAAACAGTGAAGTATGCCTAAAGCCAATAGAAAATCAGAAAAATGCTCCCTTCCCCTCTACAACTAGTCCACTAGTTTAAAGAGTTCAGAGCTACTTAATTGTGATCCCATCTGAAAGTATTGTTCATGACAAAAGATCACAGGATACTGTTAGAAAGAAAATCTAGAGAGGTTTCATAGTCAAAGTTCTCAAAATTTCCACTTGTGCTTATTTAAAGAACAAAAAATTATATTTTTAATCAGATTTTTAATAATATAGTAGATTTCTTTTTAGGCCTTTAGGTCCTCCTCTCTTAAAGGAATCGTCTCTAAAGTCTTAGTCTGACTCAAAAGATTTTAAAAAGTACAAATGTGATTCTTTAAGAGGTTCATTAGCTGTGTATTAGCTGTGTATTATATGTATGCATAATACACAGTATGTATGTATTGTATGTGTTAATGAAGGAAGGCAAAATTAAGAAAAGCAACGCCAGTAAACATTAAACTCAGTTTGGCTGGTATTTTGCGCTTCTAATACAGAAGAAATTAAAAGTAGTGATTAAACTGTTAGTTTGAACTTCTTGCAGCTGACAGTCATGTGGCCTACTTGTTTTGAGTGTTTATGATTTGTTGAAATGTCTTCTTGTTCTGAAGCTGCTTTAAGTTGAAAGTCTGTGTAGAAATATATTTTTGTTCATTAACTGTTGCATAGCCTCATCCTTGTCGATCCCCAGTTTGGATTGTATATTTGTTATGAGGCACGGCTTGGCTGATTGTCAACCAGCGGGTGGGGCTAGAGAGGCTTAAATACACAGTGTGTGTCATGATTGATGAATTATAAAACTTACTACATAATTAACTGAACTGACATTTCCATGCAGGGAGATTACGACGTGGTGATCAATGACTACGAGAAAGCCAAATCTCTGTTTGGGAATACCGAAGTTCCAGTTTTCAAAAAAGGTCAGATATTTTCTTTCCCTTTTTTTTCTTCTTAAAAATATTTTCAGGAAATGAATTTAGCTTTGAAACAAATATCCTTCTTTACTCCAGTTTACGCTGAGGTGGAGACGAGGATCAGCGCTCTGAGGGATCTTCTCTTGGAAAAACTGCTGCAGACACCGTCAACCCTTCACGACCAGAAAAGATACATCAGGTCTCTTTGCAGTTTATTTTTCTCTCTGGGTGTTTCTCTTTGTCAGTCTGTGTCCTCTGTTGTCATATTTTTGTCCCAAATTTGATTTCTTCATACACAAAGGCTTTGTCTCCATGCATCACAGAGTCTACATTTTGCGCACAGTCTCTAAAAATCAAATAGAAAGTCATGACAAATCTCTGACTCTTTTATTTCTCTGCTTTTGGTTTGTTTCATGTCTGTTTATGCCATTGTTTACCAAAACTTCAACCTCCATCCACATTTTTTTTTTTTCATCTCTCACTTTCCTCTGTTCACACACGCTCTCATCTTTCTTTTATGTGGCTCTCTTGTTTTAGTTACGTTTTGCCTTTCTTTCCCTCCTTTTTTCTTCCATCCATCCGTCGATTCATACTTGTGGTTTCTACCGATTTATTATTGTTAAGACCAACCTGTCAGGATCACAGAGACCAGCTCTCAACCACATGGCAGCATCTTTCATCCTGGTGCATTAGGCACTGCTCTGAACGCCCACTCAGCTCCTGTTTACCATTCGTATGGAGGGTGGGAGGACGGGAGGGTGGGCATGTTTTGTTCATGTGGGTCTAATTGAACCTTTTCAAAGATGCCACCTAATGAGAAGCAAAGAGCAGCTGCTTTATTGGCCGATGGTCAAGGAAGCCATGCCTTAGCTCAGGAATCATCTATGTCCCAAAGGAAAGCAAAAGGATGTCCAGAAAATAAACTCCTCAAAGACAGATTAAGAATGCTGAAATGAAAAAGAGATTGAATTGTTTCCAGATCCTCAAAAGTCTGCAATAATGCAGACATGGATCAGGTGTTTGGGTGATTAACACAGTGATCAAGTGTTTGAACAAATAAGAAAAAGTTAAGCCACTGATTGATAGAAGTAAGACCTTTTCTGTCATGTGATGCAAGCTGATGAAAAGGAGGTTAAAACAGAGAAAAAAGTGTGATATAGATAAAAATTAACGGTCAACCTCACTTGCGCCCCCTTCCGCTTAAGAACTGTCTAATGAACCTGAAAAACATCTGAAAAAGTTGAATTAAACCCCTGGCTCCTGATCTAACAGGAAGAGTTAAAAGACAAGCAGTGAGTTACAGGAAAGACTGGAGAGGCATAAGTTGTTTGTTGAAGTCGCTGGATAAAAATACATGCCAAAGCTAAGCCTACCAATTATTCTTTTTTCATTCGGTGAAGATGATGCCAGGTGGGGTGTGGCTTTCTGATGTGAAGCTGAGGCCTTCTAGGTCATCTAGCTGATGTGTTTCTATTTACCCATGTGGAGATTTTTTTTGCCTTTTTTGCGCCAGCTCCAGACTTTGCTTGTACATGCGCTCATTTTGAGCCTCCAGATTTCTTTGTGACACCCCTGTCTGTGCGTTGGGCAGGTATCTATCCGACCTCCATGCCCAAGGGGACCCAGCGTGGCAGTGCATCGACGCTCAGCACAAGTGGATCCTGCAGCTCATGCAGAGCTGCAGAGACGAGTTCATCACCGGCCACAGAGGTGACGAACACGATCTGGACACGCCAAGTTTAAAATCCCCGTTTAGCTTTTTCCAACAAGACAGCTGGTCATTGCCATGTAAGAATGCTGTTATGTGAAGGAAGAGAAATTCAGCTGCCCCTCTGCCCACATTCCCCGCTCAGTCACCGCCCTCCTGGGCCTGTTCTGTTTGAGGCCAGTATGTTTATTTTTTCATGAGTGTATGAATAAGATGAAAGCAGGGCAGCGCTGGCTTTGGATTTGGGTTTCAGGACTTGAAGTGTTACACACACACACACACACACACACACACACACACACACACACGCACACTATCCTCCTGCTAACACACGGCTCTACAGATGGATTGGAACAATTAACCCCAATTAAGCCGTTCCTCTGTTAAATCAGCCAGCAGAAAAATGTGGATGTGAAACCATCCACTCAGGAAGACGAGCGATTGGCCAACCACACTTTAGTCGCAAACATGCACAAGCACTTTGTGAGTGAGGGGGCGGCTTCACATTGAGCGGTTGGAACGTAAACATGTCTAATGCTAAGTGTAACAGTGATTTCCAGGGCTCGGGCTTGATGGATCTGGGGTTTGGTTTTCTCTCTGCCTCCCCACATTAAATATCATGATTATCATGTCAGCGATGTCCTCTTTTCAGTCCACGCATTCCACAGCAGAGCCACTGGTATCTGAAATCACATGCGGGCCAGTTCTTACACGCAAATGCCCATTTAGAGCTTCTTCATTTACATGAAAAATGAGAAGTAATTTGATATAGACTTTAGCAGTAAACAGTAATCTGTATGCATTAAACTTTTGACACCATATGTACATCAAGCTGACACAGTCCTCAAACTTGAAACAAACATTTCGTAGCTATTTGTCAGTGTCTTTCAAAATATAACCATCAGTTTAAAAGCAAACCGTATTGATCTGAGTATCAATTGTTGAAGTGATCTCAATCTCTGATAGATTTAGCGCTCACTAACAGAAAAACAAAAGACCACTCAGTCAAATGTGGTTTCCATGCAGGTGGAACTTGACTAGTGGTCTCTGCTGTCAAGGTAATGTAATCCACCTCGGTTCATTTGCTCATACTTTTATGTGGTTGTGAGCAAAACTATGAGGTCATATGTCAGTTATGTAGAAAGATATTCTGGAGATACCCTGCAGAGTTTTTCCCATAAATAAACACACCTGCATGTACTCTGAATGTCAAATAGAAATTATTTGTCTTTAAAATTAGATTAAATGGTAGCTTTTGTTTAAAACTCTGGTCCTAAATTTATATGTATGCATGGTGTTTGAAAGTCTGGAAAACAGGCTTTTCAAAACTGTGCTCATGCATAGCATGCTATGTGCCCAACGGTCTGAGGCCTTCCTCAGTTCTAAATAGAGCAGAGGGTCAACTTGGATAGCAAAAAGGTTTCCCATAATAACCCTAAGCCAGCAGACCTGAGCTGGACACAGCGGCTTTGCTGTTGTGTCCTACAGGTGTTCAGATGGATTGATGGATAGATGGGAATTATTTGGTTGCTGAAGCTGCTCTTTTTTCTTTCCAATCCTCCACCACTTCTGCCAGGGTGAGTCATTTAGAACCAGCTATAGGCTCTGCTTCCTGAATTTGTTCTGTCTGTTGGCGCCCTTTGCCTTGATGGGATTAAACTTGAGTGTCAGACTTGATGTGTGTGACCGCTGCAGAGACGTTGCTCTGTTTGCCCGCATTTGGCAGTCTCCCTCACCTGTCGGCTGTCTTCAGCCTTTCCACGTAAATAATAACAGCTACAAACTGGTGGGACTCTTCTGCAGTGTAATGGAAAGTCGTTATAAGTGCTTCTGATGTTACAGGATGACAGCTCCGTCTTCAGAAAATATGGAGGGCTTCAGCAGGTGGTCACTACTGGACCCTCTTTGCCAAAAGCAGTTCGTGGAGGCCGGTCTGGGTGGGATAGAGCACGCACTTTAACAGATAGTCATCAACACCCCTGCTGGTGAAAAACTCCACAAGATATATTAAGATGTTTAAACATATGCTGTCATTCCTCTGGTGAGGAGAGACATCACGTACACAAAGGAAGTAAAGAGCACACACAACAGAAAGGTGCAGGGAATCTTTTTGTTCCTTGTCTTCATCACAGCTGCCTCCTCTCTGCCCTACTGTCACGCTCTCCACCTCTTCCCTCAAACGCCCACATATACACACCTGGTAGCTATTTGCCGTCCCCGTTGGACACTGCTCCCCTCTGGCCCGAGTGTGAAACCAGTGCCCATCATCACAAAACCACATCCACCACATGCCTCCAAGCCTTAGCCTCCTCCTCTTGCATGCCACCACCTCTGCTGGCAGATTTCTCTCACAGTAAACAGCTGTCTGAACTCATAGGCCACCCTTTATGTTCATTACACGTGGCGTGGATTACTCTCCTGTGATGGGTCAGCTATATCTGCAATAACTACAATTATTTCCACCAAACTGTGTGCTTCCCCATCAGGAATATAGGTTCAGAGGCCGTTCTGGTGTAGTTTTCACTCCATTAATTGCCCCCTGAATTGTCTTAAACGTGAAATGGAATCATCTATCTTTTCCTTTTGAGGAAGCATAGCCGAGTAAGTTGCTTCCGTATGTCTAAACACTCCCATCGTGCCCCGATGTTGCAATCTGACTCTGCCTCAGCCAATTATAAACTCCAATACTCTTTATATCCTGGCCTGGACTTCTTCTGCCAATGTCAATACAATTAGCAGCATACACTGAACAATAGGTTTCTCTGTGAATTCATCTCACACTTATCTATGGTTTTTAGGCAAAGTCTGTGTTACTCAGCTAGAGACGATGAGAATCACCTGTTTTGATTCACATAATAATCAGAAAGATGCTGCATTTTAAGTCAATAACAAAAACAGCAATGAAGACACTTTGGCATGAAACTGATACAATGTGAGTGTATACATTCAGACAGAGAACAGACCTGTTGTGTGGGTGGACAGCCACAGTGAGGAAGTCACAGATAGTTTTAATGCATTATAACATTTAAGCATAACTGAACTATCTGTAGCACAACCGGAGATGGATCAGCTGAAGGTCCAGATGCATCTCTCAGCTCCTGTCAGGTCTTTGCTGGATTCTTTCCTCTTTCTTGAGGACACTTTCTGATCCTCTTCATCTACTGTAGATAGTTTTTTGGACCCAACACTTCTTCTTTTGGACACAATACTGGTACGAGGCCAAAAGAAAACAACGAAATGGTCAGCTACAAGGACTTTAATAGATTATCATAAAGTTTATCTAATAGTAAGTGCTAATAAGAACTTCAGTTAGCTTATGACACCCATCCTCCTAAAATATGGCACATTCACATAGACACTGGAGGTTCAGCTGACACCTGGATCAACAGCAGCTCTCATCCCTGCAAGAGGACAGGAAAACATCTCAGAAACAGGGTGTGTGTGTGTGTCTGTACGTGCGCGTACATGCGTGCGCACATGTCTGTGTGAGAAAGTGCCGTCTGTTTACAGATAGTCTGACTCAATTGAGAATTTCCTTACATTTTCTGCCCTGGTGCGTTGCGAGCTCGACCATCTCAACCTCATTCTCCGCAGCCTGGGGATTTCTCAATACTTGCTTACACACTACATTCAGCCTGTGACTCACCAGGACGCCTTCCTCTGTGTGTGTCAGACACATGTTTTGGAAATGTGGCCTTCCGTCTCCCTCCGTTTAGACAAACTCCATGTAGGCGTTTTGCAACATTGCACGAAGTTGTCTTTAGGTTTCATTTTCGTTGTGGTCATTGACGGTCCCCCTCCTGAGCTCTGTGGCGTTTCACTTTCATTCTGCTCTTTCAACTTTCACCCCCCTGTTACTATTAACTTATCTTGCTGATTGAATACACTAAATTCATGCCACTTGCTGAGATAAGCGTGTGCGGTCTCCTGACTCTTGCACAGCTCGGTGGTGCCATCTAGTGGAACAGAGGTGCCCAAGGGTCTGGCCTGGTGGAGCGCGGTGCGGTCGTTGTAAACCCACCTCACCCCATCCCTCACAAAGCCAAGGCTCTGTTTCTTCACTCTGGAAATAACAGCACTTTCTCTCAGCTGTGGACTGGGGCAGAGATGGATCAGAATACAAATAAAGAAGGTCCAAACGGCCGAGGGTACATTGTTTGGTGTGAAAGCCTGCTGAGCTTATTCAGGAATGTGGAATTATGAAAATGGCTCATTTGATTATTTGAGATCTGAAGTATGTGTCTCCTCCCTTCCCCCCTCCGTCCCTCTCATGCTCTTTCTGTGTGTCAGTGGCGGCTGGAGCCCTGGATCCGGAGGGGGATACCCGTCCGCCAGCCCTCGGCAGATTGAGCCACTCTGCGCCTGTGAAGAGAGGGGGCAGTCTACGTTCACCACGACCCAGCAGTGAGTGCACACCACAAAGTCACCCACCCACACTAGGTGCTGAGGGGGGGGTTCCCTGCCTCTGACGACACCTTTGTTTTTGTTTGTGACACTTTCTGTAAACTAAGATGTTTCCTGGAATCTTCTTAAAGCAGCCAGTACAGAAAAGGCCAGATTACAAGCTTTAAGGGCCATGAGTATAGCACTGAGTTTCTTCGTCGCCAGTCGCTCTGTTACCAGTTGACTGCTTCATATTTAGGCAAAGCAGCATGTTTGTATTAATCTGTGTGAATCTCCATTCCAGCCTGTGGATTTGAAACCCCACAGAAGGTGCAGTTTGTGGAGAAGCTTTCGGATGTGGTAATCGGTCAGCTGCCCAACTTCTGGAAGCTTTGGATCTCTTACGTTAATGGGAGTCTTTTTAGTGAGGTAAACATTTCTGAAGCCTCAGAGCAGCCGCTTAGGTGTAGACGTCTGTTTGCATGGTTGATATACTTCAGCATCTGATTGGACAACCACTTAAGCTGCCTTATGTGTTACTCTGCATAACCCACCAAAAGCTCCATGTGCTACTGCTGTACCCCTCTAGGGCAGCCATTTCTTTCACAGTTTCAGAGAGCATGAACCATTAAAGACATTAGTTTTATAGAATGTTGATGATTGTTTTTTTACTTCAGTACAAATGGGTGTCTTGGGGTCCAGATATTACAGACACTGACACACATAACTGATAGCAGCTGTATAAGTATCCAGATCCACAATATTGTGTTTGTGAGAACCACACAGAAAAGGTTTTCATTTGTTTTCATCGATGGTCTCACCCTTTATCTTAGACCTTGGTTAGGATAAAGCAGTTAAAGGATATCAGTGGATAAGGTATTATTAGGTTTAAGAGGTTTCATATTAGGTTTATTTGGCCCCCAGAACCTTTTTTACTTATTGATTTTTCAGTCAGTAAGCTCCAGATAACATTTTGATATATTCTACATAGTGTGGTTGCTTTTTCCTATTCCTTTTTTCAAATTTGATCAATCTCATATGCATTTTCCGACAGACTGGAGAAAAGTCTGGCCAGGTGGAAAAATCCAAGAAGAATGCCAGACAGAGACAGAGCGACTTTAAAGTGAGAGGAGTTGTTACCCTCTGATTCCTCTTTATAATTACTGTTTGTTTGTTAAACACCTAAAGCTACTTTGTGGCTATTTTATAGAAAATGATTGAAGAGTTGACCAGTCGACTTGTGAATCTCATTCGGGGCGCCCTCCTGCCCGCCACCATGCCGCAAGTGGAACTGAGTTTTTACGGAGGCTGGGAAAACAAGTCAGAGCTGACAGGAGCCTGGCTTACACAGATCATCCACACAGTCAGGTCTGCCAACATGTGCTTCAATGCAGGCGTTAAGATCAGTTAACTGAGACTTTTGTGGAAATTCATGTTCTACTTTTTGGTGTTGTCTGTGACTCAGGGGTTGTCACGAGGCCCTTTCTGCTCTGGAGATCCCAAATGATTTGCTGCAAGTGATCCAGGATCTGCTGCTGGACCTTAGAGTTCACTGCCTCATGGTCACTCTGATGCATACGTCCGAAGGTGAGAATTAATGTATTAATTCTCACAGACTAGTACATCAAAGCAGATGGATTTTTCCTCCTTAGATGGAAACACTACAGTAATTACAATGAAGCATACTTATTTGCTCTGGTATCAAGAATGACAGATCAAGTTGTCAGATTTTAAAACATTTTTAAAAATGAAATCAAGGATAGATATAGTCTGATATTGATGAGCAATACATAGACCAACAGAAAAAAGCGAAAATGTGCAGATGCATCTGTTTTGTTTTCATTTGCCTCATGTCTGATGCTTGGGCATCTTACTCGTTAGATGTCTGAGAGAAATCAACATGAATAACATTTACATGAGATTTTTCAACAAGTCTGGGAATAGGCTTTTCTTCCAGTTATTAGCTGGAGCACCTAAAACCTCACAGTGCTTCAACCAGACAAACGTACCCATTAATCTTAAATTAAGGAGGGTATTCTGCCCTTCTCTGATTAATTACTAAGCTTTTATATTTGCTACGAAGTCATTTGATTAATCTCTACTAAAATCCAAAGTTTCTGGCATAGAAAAAGGATGCAAACGGATGCACTGATATTTCATAATGAAACTGCTGACTTAAACAGTTGGAAATTATTGTTTTGATAGAGGAAAGGAACAGCTGCTGAAGCAAAATCAGTCAGTTAAAGAAGTATTTTTTTTATTTCTAACTCAAAGACACTCCTAACCCTCATTATTCAAAGAAAAGCAATATAGTTTTTTTCTAACAAAGCTAAGGCGTATACATGATACCTTCCATTGGTCATTTGGTGGTCAGGCAACTTTAGCTAATACAACTTCCAGGGTTGTTATGGAGAAAGTGTTATGAGACCAAAACCAGACATGTTTAGTTTCACTTGTGGTTGAGTATGGTCATTTTGAAAGGGTCTGACTTGGTTTTGCACAGCATCCCTACCCCATCTTTCACATTCACACCAAGCATACTAGCTTGATTCCTTTATTTCCTCTGAAAAGTTTAATTCTACCTGTTTTAATTAGTAGCAACTTCATGTGGAAGTTATCCATCAAATTCATCATATTTGATGACAGATCAGTGTGAAAACTGCTGAAATTCATTTTCATTTTGTTTCATTTGCGCTTCGTAGATGTGAAGAGGCTTGCTGAGAAGGAAGACTGGGTTGTAGATAATGAGGGAATCACCAGTCTGGTAAGGATGTATTATTACACCAAACAGTTATCTGTAACAAACTGTCACAACAGATTGGTTTATGACAATATTTTATATCTATTGTCTGACAAAACAAATATGTTGTTCCTGCTTTATTATTGTCCATTTCTTTGTCCACATCTTTTCCTTTTGTAATATGACTAGTATTAACAAGCTCAAGTTATGCTATGTTAAAAGTTCTGGATTTTAAAAACTTTAAAGAATATCTTTCAATGCTTTGTGACTTTAAACAACTTTTTTGTATATTTCAAGCTTGTTAAATTCACCAGCAGGCAGGCATCATGCACACATTATGCACAGTTATGCTGACAACTCAATACAGAAAAGCCTCGATAACACAAAAAGTGGATTTTTAACTTTTTAGCCATGCTGATGGAAAAGGAAAACCCCAAAAAGCTTAAATCAAATCATAGATTCACGTTAAAAAATGTTGGATCAATTGAGACGTACGCGTAAACCTTTATTTCTGTCATTTTGATCTGTAACGTAAATGCTTTGACCAGAAATGTACTGTCTGCGCTCAACTGTTGTTCCTTTGACCCTTGTTGCAGCCTTCCCACTTTGAGCAGTGCATGGTCCAGATGCTGCAGTCTCTCAAAGAGCCGCTGGAAATCAAACCAGGAGAGATCAATGTAAGTTAGTTTGCTGTTGCCACTGAAGAAAAGTGCTGGAACATAGAGGCTGAGGTTCCACATGGGCTCTGTGAGATGATTTGATGGAGTTTGATAAGATTGAAACTTACTCAAGGAATGTTCAGGAAATGCTTTTGTAGAAAAACACCTAATTAAGTGACTTCAGTGCAAACTCCTACTCACTTCTAACATCACTCTGTGGCTCCACTGTGGGTGTGTATTTTTACTTTTGAAGGTAATTTTGTAGAAGATTTTAAAACATAATTTGTAGAAGGTGCCAAGTAAAGAATTCAAACTTCTCCATTAGAAATATTTATTCTGTGCATTTTGTGCATTCTGTGCATTTTGTTTGTGTTTCTTGAGTTTTAACGCCTGAACCTCTCTCGTGCTGTCTTTTTCTTAGGTGTTGCAGTTGGACCAAGTCCAGGACCAAGCTTCAGAGCTCAGTGCGGGCATCATGAAGGTAAGATCAAGGAGGGTGGAGTTTACCTCCTTCCAGACAAACAGACAGATGGCTTTTATGCTGAGCAATGTCACAATGCAGTCTTTTCAAAATGGTGTATTTATGGCAAATTCCTTCTCTTGCCATGAAACAGAAATCATCATATTTTACCCATGAAACCTCCAAGATACACCAAAATGTGTATGTTTGGTGAAGATTACACCCTGAAAAAAGGCATGTGCAAATATTTTGGGGATGTGAATGGGAAAGACTCGGGAGAACCATCTACAAACAGGAAGTCAGCCATTTTTGTTTATATATATCACCCTGAAATTTCCCCTGTATAAGAAAACATCCCTTTTTATTAATATGTGTGCCTTTTGACCTGTTTTTGTGACATGTACCAGAGTATCTTGGCAGACTCTTGTGTCTTGAGAGGAGGATGCTGTTTTTTCACTTTTCTCTATTCTGGTTCCTCCTGTCATTTTGTTTAAACTAGATGTTTTGGCTTTTTGGCCACGCATTGTGGCACTGAATCTAGTTTTATTTAACACAAACACCCCGGCAGCATTTGACCTTCTCTCATACTTTAGATCTAATACATTTTGCTTGTCGACCTTTGATCCCATTATTTGGATTTGTCTGGTTATCACCGTGCAGTCCTGAGAGCTGTTTCAGATCACATGTGATGGGGTTGTCTGTTTTTTTCCAGGTTTTTATAAACTGCTTGGATCAGCTAAGTACCAAGACAGATGGAGTTTTTCATTCACCTCAGTGAGTATCGTCATGATTATTCTGTAATCTGTGATCTTTGTTATTTCCTCTGACATTTTAAGATCATACCTGTCTTTGCAGCAACATTTCAATGGAGCTTTCCTCCCCAGACCGGTTTACTTACATCCAGGAGGACTTCAGGCCAACACCCGTAAGCATGATGTTTGTTTTTATTGTGTTCATGGGGCATTTTGGGGTTGACATCTCTTAAAATCGTTGACGACGGCCAACCTCAGCAGAGCATTGGACTCTCACTGCAACGCTGTCAGACAAACATGTCTCACTCACTTTAACCACAAAATGTTTCCAGTCTGTTTCCTGGTTGTGGACAAGCAGTATGTGCTCATTTCCTATAACTTGTTTGAGATGTTGGTGAAGGGGGTTTAAGTGCAGGGGAGGACGACGGCGAAAAGGTGGAGGAAGAGCAGGGTATAGAGTGCTTCTGGTAAAGGGAAGTGGAGCAGGGTGCAGATGGGGTTTCCCCAGCCAAAATATGTGTAACAGGAGTTCAGCAGCAAAGCCCGACCTAGAGCGGATGACCAGAGTTTAGACCCATGTCACACATGATGTGAACCGTAGATTTCTGAGAGTTTAAACCACCAAGTACAGTAAACAAACAAGGTCAATACCTCATGGCTTTTATTTGATGGATATCAGTTTTCTTCAACCCACTGAAGACTTCTGTCTGTTGGTCTGAAGTCCTGAAGTGTGAGAAAGTGATGAGAGTAACGTCATTTGTGGTTTTGAGAGAATAGGCAAGTGCCTTCTGCCATCATTCCATCTCAATTTCTGTGAAGGTTTATTTTCTGATTACTATGTATTACCAGGCAAAACAGAACACAAGAACTATCTGATCCAGAGTCTTCCACCTTGTTCTTGCTAAAGTGCATTCAGTCGTGTGATCCAACACATTAAACATGTGGATTTAAAAGAAGCCCATTCAGCAACAAGAACTCATGGTAGTCTTTGAGAATATATTTTTTGCTAAATTATCCAAAAATATGTTTTTCCCAACGGCCAGAGCAGCTTAAACATCTGGAAAAACAACTTCCAACGCTGTGGTACAATCTACATAACAAGGACTCTGGACTGATTCCATTTTATTGGGTCGTCTTTGCGTTTGCCTGAGATAAAACTACGCATCCATCATATTGAAACACTTTTGTTCTGCGCATGCTGTCATCTCCTGCCAAACTAAGTTAATATGCTAGGAAAATTGCAACAAAGTTTGAGGGGGTTTTCTCTGCACAGAAGGCACTCATGTGTTTTAAAGACTGGTGGAAAGGGTCGTTTTGGTTAATTAAATGTAACATTTTGTGTATTTAGGAGCAGCGTCTGCTGATCATTCTTAGTAACTGCCAATATCTGGAGAGACACACCTTCCTGAACTTGGCTGACCACTTTGAGAAGCACAGTTTCACAGGGACGGAGAAAATCACTCGGGTCAGTAGGTTTTGCCACATTTGAAGTTTTTATTCATGTAACTGTAAAGGTTAAAGATACAATATGTTGTGCTGTTGACGAGAAGTTTGCTGAGGTGTTATTAGCAAAAAACCAGATCAGAGAGTCTCTCTTCTCAGCAGAGAAATGACTCTTAACCCCCCCAAAAAATTAAATGTCATTGTCTTCTGAGCTCAGTTCCATGTTTTCAGCCCTTTCTCTTTTTCACACAGACACACTCAGAGCAGAACACAATGACTAATGGCTGATTCACAAAGCGAAGACGTGTTTGGCAGATTTTCCAGTAAAACTGTCGACCATCATTTTCTTTGATAGATCAATTTATAGTCCCATTAATGTGTAGAAAACATCATATGAGTGATGCTTTATCTCCACTATAATGTCACTTTAGAACATAAAAAAATCCCTTTGTGCATCTGCCGTGTATCTGTTCAACTCAACAGTATTTAAGTAAAAATATTAATGGAACATTAAAGCAGTGTGTTAAAAGAGCTGTAAGATAAACGGTAAAACACGTCTGTCTGCTTTTGTTATCCAGAAAATCATAATTCATCAGTCAGAGCACTTTTTTTTTTTTTAAGTTTTTTTTTTTTTTTTTTATTTAAATTGATTCCATTTAACCCTATTTCAGTTCAGTTGGTCAGTTCACACCCAGAGCCCTGGACCAGGTGAAAGGTAACAGACGGGAGGAGGAACAGGAAATGGAATATAGACTCAAGTTTAAAAAAAAAAAAAACAGAAGCATGAAAAAACACCAGGCCTGCTGCAAATTATGTCTTTTTAGCAGATATATTCACATGGTTTGAGATCCGGCTGAATGTGTGAAGAAGTAGAGCAGAAGCAGAAAGCTACATGCTAAATATAAACACCAACAACACGTCATTTATTCTATTTTTTTTACTGTCCTTTGATCAGGTGAGTGTGGACGCTGTACGTGAGCTGGACAGGAAGCTGTTCGAAGCCTACATTGAGAGGCGAGCCGACCCAATTGCCGGCTCCCTGGAGCCGGGCATCTATGCGGGATACTTTGACTGGAGAGACTGCCACACACCCACAGGTACCACGAAGTAAAGCCACACCTCCACCTGCGCTTGTGTTGACAAAGCAGCCACCACTAAGTCATCCTGGTAGCTGCACAGGCTGGCCAGCACTAGCACCATAGAATGAGAACTCTGTGTCACTGGTCTTATCTGCACTGTTGTGGTTTAGATGTGTCATGCTTAAAGTCAACCCTTTGAAGACTTACTGTAAACACCGCTGAGATCACTCTGCCTGTCTCCCTAAAGTACTCATGGCCTTTGTGTAGAGCTGTGGGTGTGCAGCGATATGTGTGCGCTGGGGTTTAGTTGACATTTCTGTCTCCAGATGCACACAAACACAGGTGAAACTTAAATGTGAATATGTGGTCTACCTTGGCACAGGATGTGAAGCAACATGTGAGTTTGACTGAATTCAGACAGGCAGCAGGGGCTCGTCTTGACCAAAACTCTGAGCCTAGCTCTGGCTTCTTGGTGCCTCTGAGAGGTAGTTTTCGGCCCGCTTGTGAAAGAGGAACATTTTGGACACCTAACCACAGTTCTAGGATATGATACTTTCACTTGTTGCATTTACTGTGTGGGATTCATGTTAGCGTGTGGGGTGCTGGAACGCATAAACAATCTGGTTTCAGTACTTTCTTTCTGTTGCTACATTTGGTTGTTTCACTGTGAGAGTTTACTAGATGTTATATTTTAAACTTCCAGGCAGCACATCAAACCTGTCAGGAACAGATTTGATAAGATTCAGTGATGAATCACAGTTTTGGACTCTTTTTAGTGCTGCTTTCTCCTCATTTAGAGTTAGATAAAAATGGAGCAAAAAAAAAGATTTCCATTAAAATTCTACTGTTTAGAGCAATGAAATCAAATTTAAAAAATGAAAAATTTCCCTCTGGGATTATTAAAGTATTTCTGATTCCGATTCTGATTTGGATCAGCTCGACACAGTCACATGTTTAATATTGTACAAAAATGCCCAACAAGGATCAAAATAAGTGTTTGGATATGAGCTCAGTCAGGTGGTTTTGACTTGGCTATAGAAACCTTTCTTTATCCTGTTTGTTGGCCAGTGTCAGTTTGATTCCTGAGTTTTGGTATCAATATCTAGAATGATGGTTCCTTCAATATCTTTCCTCTTCTTTTATATGTGGAAACATACAATCCATCTCAAAACAAACAGCTGTTACTGCAAATATGGTATTTACGTTCCCCTGCACAGGAATACAAAAAAAAAAATCACAGTTTAAAAATCTGTAAATACAAAAAGATGCAAATGCTATTTACTTGTTGTTCAAGGTGAATCTTCAGTTCAGAGACTTTCCCCTTGAACCTGTGGGATGGTCCAAAATTGACATTCTTTGTTTTTAGGATTCAAAAAGGCAACTCTGTAAAGACACACAAACACTTCGAAACGTTTGTTTGCAGTGACATTCGTGACGCACGCATGATTATGTGCCCGAAACTCAGGATTATTCTCCTCAGTCATGGCAGAGGAGATCATTCCTTTGACTGGACCGTCTTTCTGATTATATAGGGTGTGCTGTGTTTCTGCATATGCACTGATGCTGTGGATTGTATCTAAAAAGACTGGTGTAGCCTCCACCTTTGAAAGGGGAAGTGTTTCTGCTTGCGAAGGAAGTCTAATTTGAACACTTTTTTCTATTAGTTTTATGATCTCAACAGATTGATTTCAGCCTATTTTGACATTTCTTAGCATAATTGTCTTTAAATGAATCATGTTTCGATTTAGAAGAATGGAAAGATTAGAAAGCAGCTGGTGTGTTTTATTTTAATATGTGCTAATATGGGTAAAAACATTGAAAAAAGAATATCTCTGTTATATTTCTTAAGAGAAACTTCACCAGGTCACAAAGTGAACTACGGAAAATTCAGAATCTGTGTCGTTGGGGTGATATTCATTGTTTTTCCTCAGCAGATATGAGCTGTTTTCTATTTGTTTGGCTAGCTGTTGGTTTTTGTGGACTGAACAATATTTTTATTTTCCCATATGAGGGTTCGTTTAAGAGAAAGTGAGGGATTTTCGATGTTGAGCCAGATTTTCTGGGTGATCGTGGCCAAGTCCATCATTTATAAAAAGTCTCAGACACAGGATGTTTCCACTTTGAACCCGTCTGACTTTGATCCACCCTCCACTCTCCCAGGTGTTAGGAACTACTTAAAGGAAGCTCTGGTGAATGTCATCGCCGTTCACGCCGAGGTAAAAAGTAAAACAGCGAAAACACATTTAGCACACGTCTACGTCATCAAAAACCAGCATCTGTTGTCTCTCATCCTGGCATTTTCCACCGCCTCGTCAGGTTTTCACCGTCTCTAAGGATCTGGTCCCGCGGGTTCTGTCGAGAATTGTGGAGTCGGTGGCAGAGGAGATGTGTCGCCTCATGCAGTGTGTGTCATCCTTCAGCAGAAACGGAGCCCTGCAGGTACACATGCCCTCGCACACAAACACAGGCCGCAGTTTCTCAGTCATAGTAAGACCCTGACTCATAAGTCAACTCCACATTTGTGGGGGGTCCACCGGTTGTTTCTGATAATGCCACATTCGGTTCAAGTCACTAACTGCTGCATGTTGGTCACGATCGCTTGATTTTATGTTCTCTTGTTTCTTTTCTTTTTGGAAACCCCTCACTTCCCCCTCCCTCCTCTCCCCCATCAGGCTCGGCTCGAGCTCTGCGCCCTGAGAGATGCCGTGGCCACATACCTAAACCCCGATAGCAAGTAAGCACAGCCCACGAGAGCTCCCACACGTGTGCCTCTTGATTTATGGCAGCAAATGTCATGAACATAAATCTTAGCAACTGCACATCCCACAGTACAGTCCCTATTTATGGTAGTTGGTGGCTTATTGAAAGGAAATGAAAGTAATCTGGTTCTCTTGTGTGCCTGCCCTGTGGTGTGTGTGTCCATACATGTGTGTTCCTGTGGGCAGGACAAGGTGCTTGTCAGGATACACGCATAGACTCATCCTGAACTGTATTTTCTGGTGTAGGAGTGTTAATAAAATGTGACTCTCTGTTAAACGTTTAAACCGAGTGTCTGGTTTTCAGCACCAGCTTCAAACTGGCTCTGGAGTCCCTGCCACAGTTACACAGCGGAGCCGATAAGAAGTGAGTCGGGTTCTGCCACACGGGTTTGGATTTTTCAGCATTATTTGTCAAGTATTTAAAGACTGATTTCCCATGTTTTGCCTCCACTTCAAGGTTATTAGAAGAGTTGCTGAACAAGTTTAAGAGCAGCATGCAGCTCCAGCTCACCTGCTTCCAGCCCTCCTCCATTCAGCCTGTCAAGAGATGAGACAAATCCACTTCATCTGCCACTGCTCTGCCCTTGTTTCTTATCAGTGTGCATATATCTGTTCAATGATCACTTTGTTTACTCATCCGTTTTCCAGCGTTACTTTCAATTTCTGCTTTACTAGATGAACACAAATATCTGTATTTCTAATCTTGAAGACACTAAATGAGTCGATTTCATTGTTACTGTGCAGGACAGTCCCATTGTGTTGGTTATTCTAATTGCTTATCGCCAGTCAAGCAGCTAACAGGCAGAGTGCATGTGAGGATAACAGTGCTGATCCAGAAAAGTCCAGAAAGTTCTGAATCGGGGGTTGTGGGAGGTAAGCTGCAGCCAGCCTGGAGTCTCCTCTCAGACTGAGCCACTGTACATACTTTGAGCTGTTCCCAATAAAAAGAGCCAACTTACCACGAAATGTTTCTCTCAGATCGGATTTGTTATTTGACAAAATAGCAAACATTTCAAAGGATTGCATAGCCAGAGCCGGCCTGACTCTTCCAAAAACAGGGGCAAGATAGGAGTACATTCAAGTCTCATGAGGTACTTTTCCTACTTATATACCTTATATGGCTAAAAACTGGACCCCAAGGCACATATCTGTACTTTTAGAGGCCCTGAAAGGTAAACGTAGGTTCCCAAGTAGGTAATGGACAAACTACATGGGTACAACATCAGGAACTTTGCGGGAACCACCCCAGATAGGAGTCTTTAGGCTCCTAAAGTTTCATTGTCTTTTCTGAGAGTGAAGTCATAAGTACTAACCAGCTTCTTGTGACTGCACAGGCACCACAAGAGCAGTTAAAATGTATTATTTTATTATTTTCTCCTTTTTTCTGCAAATGCAAGCTCTGATTCCTCTTACCAAAGGTATGCGTTATACAAAATCCCGAGAGCTGCTGCAGGCCCAATGATTCATGTAAGAAGTCTACTGCTTTAGCTTGTTCTTCTTACTCTGAAAATAATTGTTGCACATTGCGTTTGCTTTTTTTTTTTCTTCCAAAATCCATAAACCAGATGATGTGTTGACAGAAAATGTTTATTTTCTTGGTTTATTATTAATTAAGAGATTTTTTTCTGTAAATCCATCGTTTACTTCCATATTCTCCGACAATCAAGCACAAAACTCTCACATCCAGTGATGCAAATGTACTCAGATTGACCATAAAGATTTACGAATGGTCAATAATCAGTATTGTTGTAGAAGTGGAGAGCCCTTAAATCATATTACGCTCCATGGAAGTTTGGTCGGCTCTGGCATGAGCAGCCATTAAAATGTTTGTGATGTTTCTTTGATCTTAAACCTCTTTGGGATTTTTTAAATTCTTGAACAACTGTGATGCTGTCAGGATTGAATGTGTGTCTTTCAGGGAGAGAGATGGACCCTGTCAGTTTGCAGTGATCATTGTGGTCTTTGCTGGCTCTCTAAACTGGAGGGAACCCCTCATCCACCCTGCTGGTATCCTGTTTCCATGAGTCCTGTAGCCATCTACTTCATCTGCCTGTAACCGTTTTAGAAAATATGGCTTTAGGTTTTTTCTTTTCCTTGGCCAGTTTTCAGAGGACTCGTTTGCGTCCACTTCTAGAGACACACGACAGTGCAGGAGAGGGTGGGTCCCTGGTAGCAGCAGGTCTGTAGCCTTTGTCTTCATTGTCTGCACAATATTTGGTTTTGAGATGGTCACAGCTTTGTCGATTAAGTCAAATGTATTTAAGATTTTTTTTTTTTATTTTAACTCTAAAAAAATAAAACGGCTTAATCTCTTAGCCAAATCATCCTTTAACACATAAACAACCTGAAAACTAAGTAAACGTAAAATCTTAAACAGCCCTTTAAAAGGCCATTTACAATCATCCATTTCTGTTTACCTTAAAAACTCCAACAAGCACTCCTGTGTTGTTTAAATTAGCAGCCTAAAGGATTTAATCCAGGACCTGTGGAAACATATATCTTAATCTGTGTTGGAGAAAACTTAGCTGGGCAACAGATCAGATCCTGTTTTAACAAAAGCAGCTAAAAGGGAGAGCAATGGGTCGATGAGAATTTGAATAATTTGGTTTAGACACAGTTTTATGCAGTAAAAGTGGGTCTGTCGACTTATGATCTTCCACAGCGTTTGTGACTGTGTATCATGACATGAATGAATAATTGAAAGCTCTTTGATTCTCCTCATGCTAACAGAAACAACATTTGACTCCCGCAGACACAGTCAGACTGTTACTCTCCTCAGCAGTGGTCGCTCATCAGAGGACTTTTAAGGGCTGATGTGTGCAATGATGAGGTCAAAAAGCACCTGGGTAATTCCTGAACAACTCATATTGGCTGAAGTTGACATGTTTGCCTATAAAACCACAGAAACAAATGAAAGAGCTACCGGACAACATACAACATCTGCCGCTGAAAAAACATGTTAGTTGTATCAAGACAAAGGTTGAAGAAGAGTAAAGTTGATGTTTTGTAAAGTTAGAGCTTAGTTTTTGTGCAGTTAAGTTTTAGTCTGTTTATCTATTTTTATGAGTTTGTGCAGCTTTTGGTACTATTTTCAAAGGCATTTCCACCTATAACCTGCATTTAGCGCCAAATCCAACAAAGATAAACCACGGAACACTTCATGAAAGATTTCACCAGCTTATTTTAAAAATGGCCTTCTTTGCATATTTGGTCATTTGGAGATGAGATTTTATCTATGTCCTCTCCTCAAATGCAACCATGCGTGATTTTTAACTGATACCAGACAGCCCTAAAGTTTGGCTCCAGATCCACACATCACACGGGTGTCATTGTGCCGCCGTGCACGTGTGCAGACGGTTGGTGTGCACGCCTCTGTTCAGACCGGCAGCTTTTAAACATTCATCTCTGGAGCTCCAGCTCATCACTCCTCTCGTGCTCTTTGACATGTCAGCGTCTGGCGCTGAGGGAGGAGGCTCGGTGCAGGGTGGGGAGGAGGGCGTGGGCCGTTACTCGCTCACGGCGGCTAACTGAGCTGTTGGATCCCAGAGGGAGACGGTGATAACATAAAGGTGTCTGTGGGTGCTGGGACTCACAAAGCGAGCGGCAGGGTCTTGGTTGTGGTAGACTGACACGCCCACGGCGTGACAGGACGTGAAGGGTTAACTGAGGATCGATGGCTTTAAGGCAGCAGGACTTAGGACCATCATTTGTGAGCAGATTTCTGTTATCGTCAACGTGCGTGCACATCAGGGTTTTTTTTTTCTCTCTCTGACATGGTTTCCCATGTAGATTTAGGGGAAAGCCATGCAGAGCATACGAGTTGTTTTGATCGTCTGAATTCGTGGGAGGACAGAAAGCTAAGATTAGAACTCATTCACAAAATAAGTTCAAAGCCTCAGGCCTTATCCGCTCCTCACCAGCTCTCTGTTTACAGTAACATAGGTGAGACGGGGGATTTTTTTTTTTTTTTTGTGTCCTCTGTTCCATTCAGAAGAAAAATTGACAACACCAGGTTAAAAGAATATAACTTTGATCTGTGATTTTTTCCACCATGAGTGGGTGAATTACAGGATGGAGAATTCTGACACATCAAGGAGGATTTGTGTACGCTCATCTGTTTTTAAAGCAGATGTTCGACAGAATAAATTATGAAAGATCACACCGGAAAATTGTGTCATTTGTTTTAGTCGGGCGAGAACGAGAAACATTCATTTTAGATGCCAAAAAAAACGCATATTGGTTCAAATCTAACTAACGATAAACTTTATCAATCAGTAGTTCAAGTGCAAGTTTTTAAATGCTGTCAGTAAAGAGTGAAGCCATCACTTTTGGGCAAAAACACAGAAAAAATATTTTAGTAAACAGGATATTTTGTGGGTTAGATCGTTTTTTTAAGTGCATGACTGAGTAGTCAATGGCCTTTTTTTTGAGGATCAGCATGTCAATACAGTCTCTTCTTTCTGTCCTGCTTCGTGCTGCTTCATTCAGTAGTTTTCAAAGTAAGCTCCCTGAATTGTTTTTCAAAAGTAACCTCATCGGCGGGTGTCGTCATCCCCTCTCTTCTTCCGAATAACTTTGCAGCAGATACCAAAATGTTTTTGTGGCTTCCTCGTGATTTTTTTTTCATGGAAGTGGAAACAGAATTTGCAAGCAGAAGCCAGGAAGGCCGCCTCTCCAGCGCAGCTCGGAAAGCGCGGCCAACCTCTTCCTCTTTCCCCGCCCCTCCTGATGTCATTGACTGTTTGTGATAACCAAGCGTTTGATTAACCAGCCTCATCCTGCCTCTGAACCACACTTCCTGTTTAGACCATGCACACACAGTGCTTATGATACCCGAGGAGCTTGCACAGTTGTGAAGAGGGCCTGTGACTTCTCACATTTTATTTCTTCTTAATTACAAAAATTACATTTAAAAACGAGGGGAGGAAACACTGCTTTCAGGCAAACCGCACTAACAAAGCCATTCATAATTTACAGTAGCAATAGTGTCTCCTTGCAAAAGCAAAGTATGTACAAAAAAGTTTTAAAAAATATCCATGAAATGTTGGATTAAGATTTACAAAAATTCCCTTTTTGTGCTAGCAGAGGGGAAGTTAACAAAGAGTGATATAATGTGTATTAAACTGGAGGCAGTTGGTCTAGTTTAGCATTGCACAAAGGTTAGAAAACAGAGGGAAGCGGCTAGCCTGGGCTTTTTTAAGTCTAAAACAATCCCCCTCAGCACTTCTGAATCTTATGTGAATATTCTTGATTGCTAAGCCTAACAACAAGAACCTTAAACCTGGTTTTACAGTGAATACATAGCAGTGTGTTTTGCCAAGCTTTCCATTCGTTTCCAACCTTTATGCTAAGCTAAGCTAAAGTTACCAGCCAGTTAATTTTATTTAAAAGAAACACCAGCCTGGTTATTTAACAACTGGTTTGTCTACAACTTTTGTCATATTCTCAGCTTCACAAATCATTCAATCATAAAAAAGGCCACTATTTGTCTACCTAAGGCAAGGAAAGGCCGTTTTACTGTACAATCACCTCAGCTGTCAGTTTTAATTGCATAGAAAGTCTGGAATTGTGCCCAGAAATGGAAGGACAACAGAGACCACAACAAGGCAAACAGCTGCTAAGTAAACGTCCATTGTTTTTCTCGTCATAATGTAAAAAATTGCCCATGTTTGTCTCCTTTCATTGAGTTTCCTGGTCTGCAGTATACAATCTGTTAGCTGCCTCTTTAGGCTTTGAACAGTCACTTGAAGCCACAGTTCACTCCTGCAGGCTGCTGCTGTGGTGGTGTGTGATGGCTCTCTGGTAGTCCTCTGAGGTGCTTATGTGGTCAGTCACAGATGGGTGTTCATACGGCCGGTAGTAGTGACCGCCCGTCTGCTGGGCATAGTACAGGAGCTGCCTCGCGAACAGGGGCTCCACCTTCAACACAAAAACCGGACGACAAAGGTTACAGTATTGCACTTATTTATTTTGAAGAAGCTCAAAGATGGCCTTGAATACCTGAAAAGTTCCTATTGTGCACAGCCAGTGCTTATTCTCAATTAAAAAGACCCACTAAATGACACTAGATTCCAAGTCTTTCATGTCTAACCAAAAAACAAATTATTCCAACTACACGTGGAGATTCAGTGGCTTTTATATGACAATGGCAAGCCAGCCGTGTGCAGCTACACAACAGGATGCCACGTGCTTTGGTTTGAACTCAAGAGCACGGTTGATTTGGGTTAATGTCCTGAACTGAAAACATGGGGACAGTATCCAGAATTAGGCTGTATGGCTGTTTTGTTTGTTTTTTTACTTTAAATTATTTTATAGATCAAACATCTGGACCGTGACTCTGAGCTGTGAATACAGGCTGTAACTGAATTTCACCAATTCATCTTAAATCTAAATTTAGTTATGAAACACAGAAATCGGTTTGACTATGAAGAAGTTCCTGCAGACTTTCAAATCATAGGTTTGATCTTTCAAATCCTATTTGTAAGGTGTCATGCCATACTTTAAGGTTTCAGATCTTAAATTTCAGCTTGCTTCAGTTTGATTTTAAGAATTGGACCACTGGCCCTCAAAGTAGATGTCAGATTTGTGGAACAGAGTATATGTGAGGGAAAGTAGTCACCTGGACACTGAGGGTTCGTCTTGGTCTCTGTGGGTCCAGACATTCGTCTCCAAAACTCAGCAGGACCTGGAAACGAGACAGTGGCCGATTGTGGAGCCCGTAGCTCTGGATTTCTGTTTGACGGGAAACAGAAAAGTTCACAGTTTGGTTAGCTGTGATATCTTAAGTGCATCTAAAAAAAAAGGCAAATTAAAAGGCTAGAATTTCTCTTGAAATGGCGTGACATTTGGGGTAACTCGAACGGAAAGTCCTGGTTCCAGTATGCAAATACATTAGCTGTCAGTCACAGCTGGGGCCTTCGCAGCATGTGGGTGGGGATAATGTGGCTGTGTGGAAGTCACATGACTCAGTTTATCGTGAAGTGAAGGCCACGGCTCCTCTTAAGTCAGCCATAAATTTAGCTTTACTCTGACTCTCAGTCTCATGTGGCTGCTTTTGTCTCCTTTGTTCAGTAAAAAAGCAAAACACAACTAGCACTGTGCAGCACTCTAATCTGCTAGGGATGTTGGTTAATATTTGATTAATTCAACACATCATCCTGGAGAAGAGTACAACTTTTAGGAGTTAAATGCGGCTTTATGAAATATCTGTCGGACTACCATTTTCCTGCCGGCTCACCTGTGAGGTAGTCCTGTGTGTGAAGGAGTTTACAGGTGACTTCTCTCTCCAGCTTGTTGGGTTTGTCCCCGAATGCCGACAGGCCGCCCTGCCAGTACACCCTGCTCTGACACAGCCTGCGGGCGTAGAGCCCGTCGGGGCACATCCAGAGTATGACGCCTCGCTCCAGGCTGGACGGAGGACTCGGGGGACACTCGTCCGGCCTCCTCGGGGTCGAGAAGCCGTCCACGGGCAGCGGCACCACCTCGGGGCTCCCGGGCGACACGTAGTGCTTCTCCGGGGAGCAGGGAGTGATGTGGCAGCCCTCTGGACTGGATGTGGTCACCTCCCTGACCAGAGTGTCCCGCAAATACACCGACACATGAAGACGGAAGTCTAGACGGAGGAGGGGAAGACGCAGGGAGGAGGATGAGTTTTCACCCCTACATGGTGATTTTTTTTTTAATGCTCTGAGACATCTAAGGAACCTGATTCAAAGATTTTGGTTCAGACAAGATGACATTAGATTTAACCAAACTCACTAAAGTTTAACAAATGAATCGTTTATCGGCCCCTAAAAGGCTGAGGCTCCTCAGAGAGTTCTGCTTGAACCAAAAGTCGTTCTACGCCTCAAAATTTCAGGGTAATTTGGCATTTCTTGAATAATTCTGCAGAGATGCGTAGACAAAAAGGCTTCCACTTTTAAATTCTCCACCCAGTTACACCATCATGGTAAGCAGCGTCCAAAAGAAAAACCTGAGTGAATCCGCCACTCATCTGCTTTTGAGGAAACGGGATCTGTGTAGCGAGATTTGAGTCACATTTCAATATTTAGGCTCTCCTTTGTCATCCTTTGCTCTGACATTAGAAAGCGCTGATCTTTATTTAAGCCAGCTAAGGGGAGAGGGAAGTGGTCCAGACCAGAATAACAGGAAAAATCAAATTAAGATGAGTATCATAAATATGAATTCCCCCTAATGAGGTGTGGGCCTTATAGAGCCCATAATGTGGCTCTTCAAAAGTTCATAGTATCATTTAGAGGTTTGAATATGAAGAGTTTGACACCACTGTTTCATTCTGTAAAATGCGACAACGACTTCTGTTCGCTCTGTTCCTCTTTGGTGGTAAGCATTAAAAAAAGAAAACCTGCCATCACATCTTACATTTTACAAGCTTATCTGAGACATGTCTTTGTTATCTAGACAGGACTGTTTTCTCTTCCCTCAGTTTTGAACGAATGCATACCTGAAAGTGCTTCTGCTGATCTGATGCTGGCATCCAGGCTGAAGGGTGAGGGCTGGCTGTCAGCGGGTCCGTAGGAGTAAATGGAAGCTCTGAGCTGATACCCTGCACGCACAGAGGAGCAGAAAAGAGCTCGACACAGGCACAGAGAAGGTCTGCGGCGCAGCCCCGAAGCTGGTGAGCTGCTATGTCTCTTAATAAGAAGTGGCGCACCATTCTCTATGGACGGGGTCTGCCATGGCAGGCTGCGGGGGGGGCAGGGACACTGGGCGAAGGACAGCTCGGGAAGGGAGGCCGGCTCCTGGCAGTACTCTCTCCAGGTGCACTCCGGACTGGGCATGTACTGGGGCATCTGTGGACAGAGACACGGTTAGCTGAGCCTGGCTGGTGTCATGATTTACTTTACAGGACAACATGCAGGCCTTCCTCTTCTAGATTTTTTAATGTTAAAATCAAATGTAGTTGAGAAAACATTTGTTTTTCCAAATGTGACCATTTTTATGTGATACGACAAAACTGAAAACTCCAAAGAAAGATGATTTCATAGTACTGAATCACACAATCTATTTATTGTGTTATTCATAGTGAATTCATGTAAGATTTGGTTTGACTTTTCGTGTTATAGTTTGTCAGCCTGCATATTTCTCTTACCAAGCTGTTTGTAAACTCAACCACGCGTGGACAGCACTTTTCACCCGGCACGCCCCGCCCCTCTGCCCCTGCGCCCCGCAAACCCCGCCCCCTATTTAAATAGGTATGAAAATCACCTGAGTCGGCACGGCAGGGTAGGAGGGGTGCATCTGGAAGCCCACCGGACTCAGAGGGCTGTCCTCCTGCCTGGGCCCTTCAGGAAACACAAGTAAAGCTTAGTGCGTGAACCAACAGTCTGAGAATGACTCCACAGCACGAGCTGTGAGGTGCTTCATCCATTTCTGTAGTAAAGACTTTGTGACTAATGCATCAGCCACACGTGGCTGAACGCAGAGAACCTCCACGTGTCTGCTTACTGGAGGACTTCCAACTTTATAAAAGGGCATTAAAAACAGTTTTCTTTGCATTCGTATGCGATAGAACGGTTAATACGTTTAGTGGAACTGACTTTTCTTGGCGCCCTCGGGGATGATGCGGTACACTTTGTAGGGATCCGAGATGTCCAGTTGGCTTCTCTCCACCAGCTCCTCGAAGTCGTTGCTCTTGTTGAGGGCGCAGCGGAGGCGCGTCTTCCAGGTCGGAGGGTCCGGCTTGTCGATCCCCTCTCGGAACTTTCCTTTGAAAAGAGCCCAGGCCTGCAGACACAACACCGGAGGGCAAAAATAAAACATATTTTCGATCCACCAGGATGCAGCCGTGCGACCTTTAATGCCTGTAAAGTCTTCTCCTTCTGCTCAAGAGTGGAGCTGAGGCGCACAGCCAGAGAAACCCAACTTTCACCCTTTCGGTCACGTTTCCCAACGTTTAGTGAGACTTGAAACTGTCCTGTTTGACTAAAACATGTGCCATTTTTAAGCAAAGCATCTAGAGCATCTTTCATAAATCCCAAAAGAAATAAAAAAAAAAACATATTCTGCAGGTCATAGATGCAATAGCGCGTAAAAATCACCAAAATGAGATCCTTTGAGTTCCGTTGATACGCAGTGAGAGAAATGGACTGCATAAATGATACAAATCCCCCCCCCCCAGCTTCTTGTTTTACTTAGACAAGTTTCCTCTACAAACTTAACTCGGACTCCTCGGACCGCCGGAGGATGCTGGTGACTCACCTTAAAAAGCGCGGCATCCTCATCCCGGTTGTAGTCCTGTTTCCCTGCGTGTTTCCACGGTATCCTGAAGATGGTCTTCTCGTCGTTCTCCCACACCAGACCCGGATATTTCCCGCAGTCCACCTGCTCGATGAGCCACTGGCGCAGCTTTCCGTTCCCGCTGCTCCCCGAGCCTCCGTAATCCACCTCTGAGTTCATCTCTGACCAAATGCGCACGCAGTCCGGTCCCGGGTGGCGGTATCACGCGCTGAGGTGGAGACTTGGTGATTTGAAAGTAGTGTAGGATTAGCAGAGAATCATCGGTTCTAGCCACGTGAAGTGAATAACTTAAGTAAATGTTAACCCGCGGCTCTCCCACGCAGGCTGCGTTGCTTTAGTGTGCGCCCTGGAGACGAGTCGAATGTGCCTTACCTGTGAAACACGAAACCCGTCAAGTTTTGAAATCAGTCAGAGTGTGAGAGCCCTCATCATTCCGGCGGGCCCGCTTAAATCCTCCCCAGCAGGAGGGTGGAGACACGAAGATGCTGAAGAGGGCGCACCTGCTGCTGCGCGCCTCTCTCCCGCGAAGCTTATCAGCGCACTCACAGTGGCCGATCTCCAGTAAGACACCGGGGGAAACCCTGCCAGGCGCCACTCACAAGTGTCACGCGCCCGCAAATGTGGAAAATCATAGGACGGAGCAGAAAAACAATTCTTTGAAATGATAAAGCGTTACGAAAAATGGCTTTAGACTGCCTTAGAAGTGATGTGCAAAACAAAATCAGTTTTGTTCCTACTAAAAGAGAGCACACCGACAGAAAGAGTTTACCACATTAGATTATGTTTTTTAAAAACCCGATCATCTTCCATTTAGAAGCCCCGATATGGGAGTCTTACTGAGAAAAAGAACCAGAAAGAAGCAGAACGGACTGTCTGACATCCCCTGAGACAACACCTGCTGTTATGTCATCAATTAAACCATATTCAAAGTTCACTGTCAAACAAATTCAGAACAATTTAACAATATTTCAACAGTCAGCATAGATTATCAGGATCATATAAAGATATTTTAAAACTATCTATCTATCTATCTATCTATCTATCTATCTATCTATCTATCTATCTA